AATGACCTGGAGGCCAACCACACATGTTAGGGGAAAAGGGAGCTCAGAAAGAGAAGTGAACACCAAATAAAGGGTGGTGGGAGGATCCTCCCAGGATAGGAGAATCACTCTGAAAGTAGACTATCGACCAAACATGATTGCCAGTCAATGCCTCTTTTGCAAACCACAGCACTCAAAAGGAGAGAGAGAGAAATGCCCTGCCACAGAGGCAGGCTGGGATGGGGGCTGGGGGGGTGGGAGGGATACTGGAATCCATGGTGGTGGGAAATGCGCACTGAAGGTGGGATGGGTGCTTGATCATTGTATAATTGAAACCCAAGAGCGAAAATGTGTAAGTCTGCAACTGTACCTCATGATGTCTCACTATTAAAAAAAATAAATTAATAAATTAATAAAAAAATGAAGATACTTGAACATAGTGATCATCAAGTATAGTAAAGGTAAGGTTTCTATAAATAAATAACAGTAATAATCAACAATGGGCTGGAAGGTTAGCACAGCGGGTAGGGCATTTGCCTTGCATTGGGCCACCCGGGTTCGATTCCTCCGTCCTTCTCAGAGCGCCCAGAAATCCACTGAGCGTATCCTGCCGGCACGGCAGAGTCTGTCAAGCTCCCCGTGGTGGATTTGCTATGCCAAAAACAGTAAAAAGTCTCACAATGGAGACATTACTGGTGCCCGCTCGAGCAAATCGATGAACAACTGGAGGACAGTGCTGCAGTGCTACAATAATCAACCCATAAAATTTGAATTGATATTCACATGTAGCTATTTGAAGAACCAGAGAGCTCATGTTTAAAAGTTGGAAATGTATAATGGGTAGGAAAAGAATTAGTCTCTTCATTCACGCAAGTACTGCCTTGTACCAAGTTTGACAGAAACAGCAGTAAAACATCTGCACTAATTATTTGGTCAATGTTTGAAACTACAGAGTTATTAGAATTATAGCAATCTTCAATCATTAATGGTAAGTTGATTCGGTTACCATCATTAGTCATGCTTAATTGCCAACACATATTAAAAATGGGGCAGGAGTAGAATGGCTCGGTTTAAGTGCATTAAAAAATTTCATGGATTTAATCATACCTCAGATAGCATGCTGTAAAATTTCTGTCAGATGTAATGCCACTTTTCCCTCCATTTATTTAAGGTGATTGAGAATATTCACTGAACTCGCTACTTGTTAAATCTGAATATGACTTTTGAAGGATAAGCTGAGATAATATACTGTGATAATATACTATGGTGCTCATTTCTGGGTCTAAAGATTTTCAAGTTCCTTTTTCTGCAATCCAGACAAACCAAGCAGAATTATGAAAGTAGTTTTGCATTCTCATTAGCACTTTGGCTTGAAATACACTGGAAATTTGATGATATTGATATTTACAATGTTGAATTTCTGATGGATAACTTGCAATACAAATATTTTTTTTACCTGACTCTTGCTACTAAATACCTGCAAGGCAGAATATATATACATATATATATATGTAATATGGAAATGGTGTATCGTCAAAGTAACATCATGTAGAGATTGTAAGTAACTATATATATATGGTGTGAAATCATGAAATCATGAAGCAGGGAGCAGGTTAGAGGATATATAAAGGGTGGGTCCAATGAGATGAGATGGGAGGGGCTGGATAGAGCCCATCTTTAGTTAGCTCCTCACAATCATCACATTGGCCAATCCCAGGAAGCAATCAAATGGCAGAGTAAAGAGGACACTGCAAGGAAGGAGTGACAGTTGTGGCCGTTGGGAGTTTCAGTTAGTGCTTAAGCTCTAATTGAGAGGAGGTGGCCAGATTGGTGGTTGCAATCTGATGGGAGAAACAAGCGAGGGTAAGGAGAGAGAATATTTATAAACCAAGACACTTTATAAGGGAGTGTTCGAGGCTACAGGTTGTTGCAGTGTGTGCATGTGTTTGTGTGTGTGTGTCTGTGTGTGAGTGTGTGTGTGTGGGTAAGAGGGGTTGTCCAAGGAACGCCTTTTCTTTCCTGTCTTCCATGGCCATCCGACCAATTTGAGCTCTTAACTAGGAGCTGTAACACTGAACAAATCCAGGCTCATACGGACAAATCACAGGCATCCGCCCTGACTCAGAACTGGCCTCAAACTGTGGAGACATTGTGGACAGCTTCAGTTATACCATGAAGGGATTGTGGCAGGCATCTCCCAGGGGAAGTTAAATTTTGCATGGTAGTGAAACAGGTGCCTGAAGGGCTAGTAAGGAATTGGACTGCTTGATTCGCCCTGTCCCTGGCCAATTTTTGATCCCCAGTCCCCCGACTTGTTCCTCAAATAGCTTCCCAGTCGATCCTTTGTTCAGAGCCCTGAATAACTCTGAACTCTGCAGGGATCGACTGAAAAACCAAACCAAGACAACAAAAGTCGTATGTCCATAAGTGCAAAGTATGGCTTTCAGGCCTTTATTGTTTTCTTATTTGCTATTTTGTCTTAGCAATCCTACATGATGCTGCCTTGATCATTCCAGTTTTCCGAGCCATGATTGGAAATAAGGTACATACTGGAGTGTACATACTACTATCTTTTCTGCTTCTGATGTTTGGCAAGTATTAACATCTCTCTGTTAGTCTATATGACAAAATGAATATTTTCCTCAATGAAAAGGACTTGGATATATAGATTGATGTGAGATGCACAATACTTCATGTGTTCATCTTATTGGGGACTTAAGGTCACCTTCTTAGAACTGAAGTCTGGTTATGGGCAGTGAATGTTTGGTGGGATCTTTAGGCTCTTTAGTAATCCAAAAAACCTGCCCTTTTCTTGGGTACAGGGTGTTGGATCACATCCAGTGATTCTTGGGCTTTTCTCTTGACTATCCTATCAGGGATTAGGGATCAGTCCTGATGGATCTCAGGGACCACATGGAGTGTTGGGGATTGAATTTAGGTCCAACATGGGCCAGACGAGAGACCAATTCACTGTACTCTCTCTCTGCAGTCCCCTAAAGTCATTCTTCTCCCACCTCAAACTTCCCATTCAAAGGAGTGTCTTGAAAATTGAAAAGCATTGATGGAAAAAATCTACAAACTCCAAAATATTTCAGATAAAAGAATGTGTGGAACAAAAATGTTACAATTTGGTTACAGATTTAATTTGCATGTGTAATTAAATTTGACTTTTGACATCAAAAATCGAATGTCAATATTGCAGCTGTTATTGTATGAAAAAAGAACTTCTAAAGACTATAATACAAACCATGCTCTATCACATAAAAAATGTCAAATATAGTGCTTTTAGCATCTACTCCCATATCATTTAGTTTTAGGGAATAAGTCGTGATTAAAAGGTATATAGCCAATGGAGTACTATGTAAAGTAAGTAAGTAAAAGTAAAGGCCCTCCCGTTGATCGTCGATTTGCTCGAGCGGGCCCAGTAACGTCTCCATTGGAGACTTTGTTGTTACTGTGTCTGGCATATCGAATACTCTCGGTAGCTTGCCGGGCTTTCCGAGAGGGGCGGAGGAATCGAACTCGGGTCAGCCATGTTGACCACTTGTAAGGCGAACGCCCTACCCGCTGATGAAGTCATGAAATTCACATAGAAGTGGTACTACTACATGGAAACTATCATGTTAAGCGAAATGAGTCAGAAAGAGCGGGATAGAGACAGAAAGACTGCATTTATCTGTGGAACATAAAGGAGCAAAAGGGGACACTCATACCCAGGAGTGGCTGAGATTAGTACCAGGAATTATGCTCTTTGTCTTGGAGGCCAACCACATGTGCTACGGGAAAAGGAAGCTCAGATAGAGAAGAGAGCACCAAATAAAGGGTGTTGGGAGGATCCTCCCAGGATGGGAGAAGCATGCTGAAAATAGACTATAGACCAAACATGATTGTCACTCTATGCCTCTCTTGCAAAGCTCAGGACCCAAAAGGAGAAAGAGAGAACAAAAGGGAATGCTCTGAGACAGAGACACGTTGAGATGGGGGGAATGGGGATGGGAGGGATGCTGGGACCCATGATGATGAAGCATGGGCGCTGGTGGAGGGATGGGTACTTGATCATTGTATAACTGAAACCCAAGCACAAAAATTTGTAAGTCTATAATTGTATCTCATGGTGTTTCACTAATAAAAAAATTTTAAAAATTAAATAAAAGCTCTATAAATATGTTTTGCCTAGCTGAAACGTTAACAGCAATAAATGGCACACATGAGTCACATTTTTTAAAATATCTGTACCAAAAATATTACTTATCCAGTTTCCACTCAGTATCAGTGCTTTTAGCAATAAGACATTTTGAAAAATGTCTGTTAATATCTATGGTTCCAGATATAAGTCCCATAGCAAAGCCTCTCTTAGCCAAAGCACACATTGACACCAATGCCCTTACCTACAATGTCATGTTAGCAATAGTAGCACATTCACGTACAGTTCCTTTAATCAAGACCCTTAACAAAAAAGACACTTAATCAAATGTTCTTGTAAATGCACATACTGAGGGTTGGGGATGGTCTTACCTCAAGGGGTTGCAAACCAAAATGTGCTCAGGTCTTAGTCCTGGTACTAGACTCAGAGATAACTCTTGGCAGGGTTCAGATGACTCTAAGCTTGACCCAATTCCCAGGGTTTCCCTTAGATGGACATGGTGGTAACATCCTGTGAGAGCGCTCGCCTCTTCTCCTCATCACATGACCCCATCCTCCCATTTCCAGTTGACCTAAATGAATTGGTAGGACCTGGAGCCTGAGTGCACGTCCACAAAGGTAATGTGTCTCCCCTTCCCTTCTCGTGTTCTTCTGCTTACCAGGGCCTGTGGTGTAACCCCATGGCTGCTATCTTCCTGGGAGAGATCTAAGAGGGGATTGAATAGTACACCAAGTAGGAAAAAGCCCTCGGAGTGAAGGTGTCAGGGAAATGTGGGGGCAGTGGAGGGACCCTGGACAGGTGGGGACAGGGCAGGGGCTCTGGGCTGCAGGTTCTCATTGCTGCTCACCCTTCTCCACCCTCCCCGTTGCCGCCATACCCTGCTGGCTGAACTTGTGCCTCTTGTCTTCTGCAGCGTGGAGTGGACGTGTCAGGACAAGAGCAGCTTTGTCCATTCCAGGTGGAAGACCAGCCAGGGGAGGAGTTAAACGCAGCGTCTGCTGGAACTCAGAGTCCTTTAGGTCAGCATGTTCCTGCTAGATTTTGGCGACACCCACAGCGACTCTGAAAGACCACACTCCACGTCAGCTCTCTACCTTCCCATCACGCCCCCAACAGAGGCAGACTCTTGTACTTCAGATCCATCCCAGAAGGATTCTGAGCCAACACTTGTACTTCCATTGGGATGCCTTTCACATCAACTCACACTCTCCCCTCCCCCAGTACACCGGCCTGTTTCAGGGACCTATCCTTCGTCTCCCCTTTTCAGAGCTGTAAGCAGTTAAGAGACTCAAATGTTTAAGAGAATTTCTCTGTGACCCCATCCCTTCAAAGGAACTTCGGGGTCTCAGGAAAACTAGACCCCACCCTGTACTCTTAGCAGGAAGTCAAAGACAGAGGCCACTGTATCTCATGATACCATGAGATTTAATTTCTTACTGAGGAGCACAGTACATAGATAAGCCTCTAGTACATAAGGGAGTATCTTGAGTGAGAATAGATGCATCTGTCCTTTTGATGGACTTTTCCATGTGTGGCAGTAATCTGCTGATCTATTGGATGAGAGGCTGCATCTTTTTGTGGTGAGAGTTTCTTCACCATGTGGGTGGTGGTCTGAGCCTCCTGTCTCTCTTGAGTTGTGCTGACTGAGTTTGGCCACTGTCCTCATATCAATTTTTCCAAAACGAACCTTTTAAAAAAATGTTCTTGGCATAATAGACATCGATTTTGGGGATATCTTTGTCAGTGTGGTAACTTTCCAGGTACATAACCTTTGACTCTTAGAAAGGGTTTCTCTTGTAGTGTAAGTAAATACTTGGTGTGTTTATCTTTGTACTTGCTTTGACTTGGATGACAGCTGTGGTTGCTGAAGGGTGATTTTTTTTTTCTCTTGAATGTTGCCTAAAGCAGCCTTATTTAGTGCCGCTGCTTCTGAAGTGAGTGAATTGCTTTTCCCCGTTCTCCCATGTTTCTGCTTGATTGGGAGTGCATTGGGGCACCAGGTTTTCAGGTCTCTTGTTGTTCATGAGGAAAAAGCACTGAATTCAAGAAATTCTCTGAACTTGCTTTTGAATAAATTTTCTAGAGGTTCTTGTCTCTCTTGCAGGTCTTGGGACTCAGTCACAGAGGCCTCCACTTACTGGTCTGGATCATGCCAGCTCTTTCTTTGACATATCGTTTTTTCTGAAAATTGGTTTCCTATTTGCACACTTTGGGGATGCTTAGAATCCTTCTTCTCATGAGAGACGGAGGTATTGTCTTGACTAATTTTGGGAAACTCCTGATACCCCTGGCTGCTTCTCCTCCTTGACGTGATGTCGTGAAGTGCCTGGGAAATGGGTGAGTCCTCTCTGGAGGCACCGTGAAGGTCAGCCTTTGTTCCTTCAGATGCCAAAACATCTGCAGCTAGATACGCATTAGCCTTACACTCTTGGAGAAGTGCTCCTTAGCACTGTTATGAAGGCGGACACCACTCTTACAGTCCTGAAGTACTATTTCGTTGGCAGGCTCTGGGGCCTTTATCCGAGGCTCAGGAAACTCTGCCAGTGCCAACAAGAGATCACAGTTCTTTTCTGCTGGTGCAACCATAGAGTTTGTATATTTTATGAGACTTTGACAATATGTGTAAGAGTCTGTTTGAAAAGAAACCTGAATGTCTTGGACAGAATCACAATCTGGAGAGACTTCTTGAAACAATAATTCCTAAATTTGACCGTTTTTATGTCCTGTCCTAACCCCAGAAACTGGGTGCCTAACGTGGCCTCTAGCAGTCCTGCATGCTGGTGAGAATTTTGAAAAGGTTGAGCACTGCTCATCTTCTATTGTCTGGGAATTGGTGTTCCTGAGTTCAGTTCTTCACCCATCATTCAAGGCCACTTCATGCTTCCTGATTTGGCTCACAATGCTATATGGGAAGGTCTGGGGAGGGGTCTTGCTCCTCTTTCCAGGCAGAATGGATCCTGAGGGCCTATGAGCATCACGCTGTGCTCTCTGTCCCAGGTTGTGTGTCCTCCCATTTTGTGGGTCCTTCCGCAATGAAAGAGCCCTTGTCAGGACCTGGGGAAAACTGTCTGGAGCGCCAATGGCTTCTATTCTCATTGTCCTGTCTTCCGGGCTGGCCAGAGGTGGTTTCTCAGAGACTCTGGCTAACTTCATTTTCCTATCAGTCTTCACAATCAGTCTCCACTAAATGGGTAGGTGGGATGGAACAGACAGTCTCTTGATTGAGGAGAAGTTTGAACTTTTGAATCTTTAAGATATTTGTGGACTGAGGATCTTGAGAGGTAAGAGCCACCTATGTCTCACCTGAAGCTTTACAATATGGCCCACTAGCACCGTCATAAATTGTGGGATGAAATCCGGTGGTTTCTGTTTGCTGTCTATTTTGAGCAACCGGCCCTCGGAGGAGATGATATTTGCTGTTTTTTTCCCAGCATCTGTTTGAGCACTGTAAGTAACAAGATTGAAGCTATAAGCATCTTTACAAGTCTCACTTGCTTTTATTTCCATCCATTTCCTAACTTGCTTTCAAAATTTTCCTATATCCCTCTTGCTTGCATTCATTGTGGGGAGATTCAGAAACTCCCTTCTCGATCTTATATTATGTGAGTCCACAATCTCTATTGGGTGATGGGCTGAGCCTATAAGGACATCCTTTGGATTTGACACACACTGTGCCCTAGATCCTGCATCGATTTATTTTCCAATGATATTTCTTTTTGGCACCTCTACCCACGATTTTCCATCCTTCGGTTACTTTGTCCCATAAAAGTAGGTGGTTTGTAGGGCCTGACTCTGTCTTGTGCTTTATACAGAACTGGGATCCTTCTAGGAGTTTGCCTCAGTTTGGGGGCTATTTGCCATTCCCGTCTTAATGGTAATCCAAGACCTTTTCTGAAAAGGTCCTTGCAATTTTCCTTCCAATTTTTCCTGTAACTCAGAGGTGCGGAGAAAGATTCCTTAAGTCCTTACCTTTGCATAATTAAAGCCATGTTCTGAAACACTTCCAGTTTCCTCATACACTACCTGAAAGCTGCACATAAGGAGAGTGGGTCACAGGGTGAAGAGAGACACTGGAAGCTCTGGGATGTCTCCCTGAAATCTCTCTCTAGCGGAGATATTTGGGGGATCTGACTGTGGACACCAAGAGACAGTGTCTACAGCAACATGGTGCTATCAGTATTAGGCCGCTTTATCCTGGGGGTGCAGGTTCACTTAAGAACTGCTTCCCATTCATTTTCCTTCCAGTGTCCCCTGAGGGGACAAATGTTGGCAACAGTTTGGAACAAGGGCAGCAGCATTGCCCCACCTCACCCTCCCTGGAGAGGAGTGTGAGCACAGCTAAACCTCTTGTTCCCACTGGGACTGAGTCCCAACACCTCGCCAGGACTGCAGGTCCACTCAGACACACAGTCCACCAGGCAGCGCCATTTCCGAACTTCTCTGGGCCTGCGCCTGGAAACCCAAATAGTGGCAAGGTTCCTTGTTCTGTCCAGGCGTCTTCCTCCGACTGTGTTTTCTGAGGGATGACTCTGCCACTTTCCATCTCTGGGGATCAGGAGGCAAACCCCAGGGGAAGGAGGAGAGAGGGGACCTCAGGTCCTGGCTGTGGCAGCCGCTTACCTTTGACCATTCCATGGGCCTTCCCTTGTTTCTCTTGCAGGCCTTTCTTGGAGCCTGAGAAATCAGAAAAGACAGACACTGGGACTCGTTTCTCAGTGCTCCCTCTCTAGAGTAGCTAAGGACCCACAGTGGTCATGAAGAGTTGAACCTTCCCTTACTCAGGAGCTGTGGTTTTCTTTCATTTATTTCTGGAGAAGAAACATTAGGGGAGTAAGGGAAGCTCTTGATGAGCACGCCCACGCCCCCACCCCCCCACCCCCAGAAACCTTCCCTCCCTGCTCTGCTGCTCAAGAAACACTTATGTTCTCAGGCACCTGGGTGCTCAGATTGGTCAGCTAGGACCTAATTTGTGGGGTGAGTGCTCAGGGACTCTCATCAGTGACCTGTGTTGGCCACCACTTTGGAAATGCTGGGTTCAGACACATGCCAATGGTTTGTGGGTCTGGCTTCCACAGACACAATCTAAGATATTTTGTTTTCACTTGCTTCTCAGGAAATTTGGGACCACTCGCAGGAGCCCCTCAGGAGAGCTACTTACTGTAATCTCTTTGGATAGAAATAGCTAAATAGTGAATTATATCTTCCCTTCTCTGCCAGGCTGGTTTCTCTACAGAAGTATTCTGTTTGTTTATTTCGCTTTCTGGGTCACACCGAGCGATGCTCAAGGGTTACTCTTGGCTCTACACTCAGGAATGATTCCTGGTGGTGCTTGGGGGACCAGACGGACTGCTAGAAATTGAACCTGGGTCAGCCGCTTGCAAGGCAAATGCCTTACCTGCTGTGCTAGTGCTCCAGCCCAGATCCTGTTTATTCTTTCCTGGGAACAGCTGTCCTTCTCTTCCCCATCTCAGAAATATATCCACTGAGTTTTAAAAAGCAGAAATAATAAAAAGGAGAGAAAAAGACAAAAAAGATCGATTCTTGTTTTCTTGGTTGCATATGGTCTCTAACTCATTATTTTTCCTAGGTTTTTCAGGTGGTGGTACGTATGAATCCTCTGGATAAAAGGCCATATTACAAAAAAGGTGGTCACAACACAAAGGATGAGAAGGTTTGGGCTAATTACACAGTTACTGGGTTTTCCTTTAAACCAAGCAAGAATCAGGCTTTTCAGAGTAGAGAAAAAAAACAACTCCATCTGAATCGCACAAGTGCCAGTAGGCAAATGAGCCCTGGGCTTCATCGTTGCCCAGTGACCTGGCACTAAGGACACCTGCCAGAAACGTTGGCTGCAGCAAGAGGAGGTGGATAGTGACAGCTCTGCCCTCAGCTGCTGCACCCTTCCCTGTCTTTGCTGAACCATCTCTCACTGCCAGAAAGGCCTGTGAATTCCACCTACAATTTGTTATTCCCTCGTTGATTTATGAGGTCACCATGAAGTTTACCCATTTGATCCTCTGAAAAATCTAGAGTTGACCTGAATTTTTGATAAAATTTTTCAGGATCCTTTCTTTCAGAATGTCCTGTCTTTCACCCCCATCTTTTCCAAATAATATTTTTTTGCAGTAACCTAGTCATATGATTTATATTATATTCTGTATTTGTTCTTAACATACAATAGATGATTTTTTTCACCTGTATTTCCACTTTGAGAAGTTAATTGATCAAATTTGTCCATTTTGAACACTTGAAAATATATATGGCATTGGAATATCCTCTATTTTTAACCTGAAGTACTTTTATATTAAACTTTATAATTTACAGATCTAAAGTATAAAACAGAAATAGGTAATTGTGTTGAGTATATATCTCGGATGTTCACCAGGATGTTCTTGATCACTTGATCACTTGATATCCCATTACTCATCGATTTGTTCGAGCGGGTGCAAGTAACATCTCCATTTGTCCCTGTTCCCTGCTAGCGTAGCCCTGGTATCTGCTGACTCCAGGAACACGAAGAGCCTTAAACCATTTGTTCAAGGTTTTGACGAAGAAGTCTGACCATCTCGTAGGTGGGTGGCCACACGTCCTTTTGATGTCCTGTGGGATCCAGTCTGTAACAGCTCTTGTCCAGCGGTTGTCTCTAAATTGCATTACGTGTCCATCCCATCTGATTTTCGACACCTTGGCAAAAGAGACAGTGTCCCTGATTCTTGGTTGTCAGTGCAGGTCAGAACTCCGGATTCCTTCTCTCACTTGAGTGAAATGTGATATTCCAAACATAGCTCTTGATTCCTCTTTGGAATAACCGAATAACGTTCTCGTCCTGTTTTTATAGGGCTCAGGTCTATGAGGTGTAACATCAGGATGTTAGACAAACATTTTCTTTTCTAGTATTGTTCTACCTCTTTGGTATCAGTGTAACATTGGTTTCACAGAAGCTCTTAGGAAGGGTTTCTTTTCAATATTCTGGAAGAGCTTATATAATAAAGGCAGTTTCCTTTCAAGTTTTGATTAGTTCACCAGTGAACCGATCTGGACCAGGGTTTTTTTCTTTTCTGGAGATTCTTAATTACTGTTTCAATGCTCTTACTTCATCAATTCAGAGTCTCTATTTTTTCTGCATTAATGTTTGTGAGAGTACATGATTCTAATTATTTGTCCATTTCTTGATTTTCTCCAAGTTTCCAGCATAATTAGTTCATAGAGACCTTCGTGATATTTTTAATTTCTGGAGAATCTGTTGCAGTTTCTCCCCCTTTGTTCTTCATCCAATTTACTTTATTTTTCCCCTCTTTGTGTTCTCCATGACTCCTGCCCAAATACTTGTTTTTCTTGCTTGTTGCTTTGAAGAAGCAACTAATGGTTTAATTAACTCTGATTGCTTTCTTGACTTCTATATCAATGATTTCTGTGCTATTTTTCAAATGTATTCTTCCTTCTGCTAGTCTTGAGATTGATTTTTTTGTTTCTTTAGGTATTTAATGTCTGTGTTTATGCTACTTGATCTTTTTTCCTTCTCTCCTAATGTAGGCCTATATTGCTATGAATTTCCTCCATAGTGTAAATTCTGTTCTGCCCCATGGACTCCCATAAATCATTCTCACTAGTTTCCAGGAATGCTTTTATTTCTTTCTGAGCTTCCTCTTTGATCCTGTTGTTATTTACCAATTTTTCAGTTCCCAAGTGTTATAGTTTTTACATGTCATATAATTATGGATGACTTTTATATTGTGGCATTGTAGTCTGAGAGGATGCTGCGCATGAATCCTATATTTGTAAATTTATGCATGTCTCATTTTGCCCCAGCATGTGATCTTTCCTGGAGACTGTTCCTCCATGTCCTTGGAATAAAGGAGAACATGTATTCTTTTTGACAATGCAAAATCAATTAACTCCAGTTCTTCCAGTTTTCGCCTTTAGAGCTTCTGTTTGTTTACTGATACTCTTTCTGGTTTAACTGATGTTTCATGGCAAAAGCGGCATATTGTAGGCAAATGATATTGTATTTATTCCAGTGAGTTCCTTAAGGCTCTGAACAGAAGCTTAAAAAATTTCCTGCTCCTTCATATTGTGCATATGTATTGCTAAGAGTTAAAGTAGGTTTTGAAATAGTGTTCCCAAAACCAATAAATATTGTCCATCCTATCCCTACTTCTATCTCTAATTTACCTTCTTGAGACTGAATACTATTTGGTCTGTCTCAGTATTATCCTTCCTTCCTTCCTTCCTTCCTTCCTTCCTTCCTTCCTTCCTTCCTGCCTGCCTGCCTGCCTGCCGTTCTTCCTCCCTCCTTCCCTCCCTCCCTCCCTCCCTCCCTCTCTCCCTCCCTCCCTCCCTCCCTTCCTTCCTTCCTTCCTTCCTTCCTTCCTTCCTTCCTTCCTTCCTTCCTTCTTTCCTTCCTTCCTTCCTTCCTTCCTGCCTGCCTGCCTGCCTGCCTGCCGTTCTTCCTCCCTCCTTCCCTCCCTCCCTCCTTCCCTCCCTCCCTCCCTCCCTCCCTTCCTTCCTTCCTTCCTTCCTTCCTTCCTTCCTTCCTGCCTGCCTGCCTGCCTGCCTGCCTGCCATTCTTCCTCCCTCCTTCCCTCCCTCTCTCCCTCCCTCCCTCCCTCCCTCCCTCCTTTCCTTCCTTCCTTCCTTCCTGCCTGCCTGCCTTCCTTTCTTCCTCCCTCTTTCCCTCCCTCCCTCCCTCCCTCCCTCCCTCCCTTCCTTCCTTCCTTCCTTCCTTCCTTCCTTCCTTCCTTCCTTCCTTCCTTCCTCCCCTCCCTCCCTCCCTCCTTTTTCCCCTCCTCCTTCCTTCCTTCCAATTTTCTGTATTTTTTCTCTCTCTTTCTTTCCTCCCACTGAATTATATGACTTTCCCCCCATCCTCTCTAAACCTGTATTTATTCTGTGAATTTAGATGGGTTTCCTATAAGCAGAAAACTAATGTATGTTGTTCCATGATCCAGCCATTCATCCTATGACATTTCATGTACAATTTGCCTCTTTGAAATTCTGGCAAACTGTTGATACAAATAAAGTTTTAATCATATTTCTAAGTGATTTTGATTATAGATTTTTTTCTGGGTGTTATTTTAGTATTTATTACAGAACAACGGGAAGACAGTGCTAACAGTGCTAACTCTGGACTACATTAGATGTAGCAAATGTCTCAACTCTTATTTGTTTGAGAAAGTTTTGATCCCTCCCTCTTAGGCTGCAGAACTTTCTTCTGTAGTGTTTCGGGTATGTCTTTCTATTCTTGCTTCTATGGTTTCATAATAGAGTTCTATTGTGAGAGTGATGCTCTTTCCCTTGTATTTTAGATTTGGCTCATTGACTGATGTTTTTAATAGTTTGTTTTTTTATTGGTTCCAGATTTTTTAATTATCATTTGTCTTGCAAGTTTTGTGGGTTGTTTGTTTCTTTTGGTCCTTTTTGGGCCTCTTCAATCTATGTACAAATCTCCCTCCAACGACTGGAGAATGTTACAGGTACTATCTCATACATTATCATATCTTCCCCTGCCTTATTTTCCTCTCCTTCATATATTCCTATGGTTCAATGATAGATGCTCTTGCTGATAGCCATTATGTACTTTACACTTCCCTCCATTTTAAGATGCTTTTTCAAAATCACCAACATTTGTCTTGTCAAAGGAACAAAAAGTATTCCTAACTATAATAATTCCCCCA